GTAAAGTGGAGTGGTGTTTTTAAAAGGTAGCCAAGAGAAAGAAAGCTTCTAGGTTGTAGTAATTCTGGACACAAGCATAAATTGGAAGGGGAGTGGCTGGAGAGCAGCTCTTCAGAGAGGGATCTGGGTGGCTGGTTGACAGCTGCTCAGTGTGGGTGTGCCCTGGCAGCCCAGAGGACAAACCCCATCGCAGGGTGCATCAGGCACAGCATGACAGCCCTCAGAGGAGCTGATTGCCCTGCTGTGTGCAGTGATGGTGTGGCCTCACCTGGGGTACTGTGTGCAGTTCTGCAGTAAAGAAGGACGTGAAGGTACTCAAATGCATCCAGAGGAGGGTAGTGAAGCTGGGGAAAGGGCTGAAAGACATGTCCTCTGAGGAGCAGCTCAGAACTTTGGGTTTATCTAGTTTGGAGAAAAGAAGACTGACCTCATTGCTCTCTACAGCTTCCTGAGGAGGGGAAGTGGAAGGATGAGGTGCTGATCTCTCCTCCTTGTAATCCAGTGATAAAACACATGGAAATGGTTCAAAGCTTTACCAAAAGACGTTTAGATTGCACATTAGGAAGCATTTCTTTACTGAGAGGGTGATCAAACACCGGAACAGTCTTCCTAGAGAGGTGGCTGATGCCCCAAGCGTGTCAGTGTTAAAGAGGCATTTGGACAATGCCCTTAATAACATACTTCATCTTTTGGTCAGCCCTGCAGTAGTCAGGCAGTTGGACTAGATGATGATTGTAGGTCCCTTCTAATTGAAAACAATTCCAGCTATCCACATCTCTACCCTTCCTTCTCTACCTTTCTCTCCTCAGAATTCTTCCCTAAGAGCTCCTAATTAAGATTTCATTCTGAAGTCTTGCATTTCAGCTACCCCAAGGCCAATCAGAATCATAGCGGTTATATGTGTGCTAGGGATGTTTGTAATGCCTGCATCTGTCAAAGTTCATGTTAAAACACTTCCTCAGTTTTTATCAATGCTCTTTTAGGATGGGAAAAGGGAATTTAGGGGAAAAGTAATAAATGAAAAAAAAAAAAGTACTTTAATTTTAAACAGAGATGGTTCCGAGCAAAAATGCAACAGAAGAGATTTCTAAGAGATTATCAAAGAATCGTTCTATTACAACGTGCCATTCGAGGCTGGCTGAATCACAGACATGATGCAGCAACCATAATCCAGCGAAATGTGCAAAGATTCCTTGCTTACAGACGTAGGAGAAAATTTGCAGTTGGAATAATTAAATTTCAGGTAAATACCTCCTGTAAGAAAATGACACTTATGTAATTCTTATTTTTATTTTCTGATTCTTCTCTCATGGGTTTTTGGGGAGAGGAAAAATGTTTACTTTGGTTGATGAATTTATCAGTTAAATGGCAAGCCAAGTTAGCTTCTGTTTAGACATGAAAGCTAAAGGCAAACAGATTAAGTAATATTAAGCAGATACTGTTTGCAGTGCCTTTGCTGGGAATGTGTGTGTAAATGTGGAGTGTAAATAAACAGGGGTTTTTTTGCCTTTTGTCTTGAAAGTCCAGTATTTGAAAATTAAACACTGAGTGGTAATTGCGTAAATTTCAATACCCAAGGTCATTCAAATACTTTGTCAGACTTGTGTAAAACTGATTTGAAGTGTTAATGGAAGTTCTCATGTATTGTCTCTTGTTTATAACTTTTTTCTTTTTGGGGAAATTCCTTTTCTGTAGGCATTGTGGAGAGGATATTCTTGGAGAAAGATTAATGACACAGCAAAAACTAAAGCTTTACGGCACAGTTTAGCAAAGGCTAATGAAAAGAGCAGAGAAGAAAACAAATTGTGCAACAGAACTGCAACTGCAATTGAATACCTTCTAAAATACAAACATCTGTCTTACATTCTTGCAGCATTAAAGCATCTTGGTCAGTATTTTGTCTTAATAACTGATAGATTTCCAGGATGATAGGCACTAGAGCTTTTCAGCTGAGAAGAGTTCATAATGATATTTAAGCGTTCTGCATGATTCTAAAATGTGAACATGTTTGAGACTATAATGGGGGCTTTTTCCAGACTGAAATTAGATTATTGATTTCAGAACAATATTTAAATGGCTATGTAGAAAAGGAAATCCTGTATGATTGCTCTTATTTCCTGTCAGTCCTAGTAATGCTATACCTTACATAAGTTTATTATTATGTTTACTCTCAGAGTATGTTTTCTGTGGATCATTTTGTCTGCATAGTTTTTTGTCTGGAATATCAAAACTATTGATTTAGAAATACTTGTTTAAATCAATAAGTCAAGTTTTTACTTCTTTGCACTTCTACTTAAAAATAGAGAAAATCTTGGTTTCCAATTAAATTGCTTGAAGTTCAGAGTTTTCTTTACTTTTTTTTCCCTTTAATTGTCACAGAGGTGGCTACCAGGTTGTCCTCACTGTGTTGTGAAAATATGGCCCAAAGCAGAGCAATCTTCAGTATTTTTGTTCTGATTCGAAGTTGCAACCGGAGTGTTCCATGCATGGATGTGATCAGATATTCCGTTCAGGTTCTACTTAATGTTTCAAAGGTAACTTTAATATTTTCTTTTGCAGAGTTATAAGCAGTAGGCTTATTTATTGTAGTACTTGGGAAAGGTACCTTCTTATAACGTGTTACAACTGTGTAACATACAGAAGTGATTTTTATTGCTTGGATACCAGATTAACTACAAATTTATTCTAGAGGAGAATGTGGACTTTACTTTTTTCTTTAACCTCTAACTATTAACTTCTAAAAAGATGTTTTAGAAGTCTGTCTATATAAGTTCTCTTGTCTCTTTCTTATATAACAGTATGAAAGAACTACTCAAGCAGTTTATGATGCAGAAAATTCTATAGATACTTTACTAGACCTCCTGCAAATGTACAGAGGGAAAGCTGGGGACAAAGTTTCAGAGAAAGGAGGAAGCATTTTCACAAAGACCTGCTGTTTGTTGGCCATCCTTTCAAAGGACTCAAAGAGAGCTTTGGTAAGACTTAAATGCTTTGGGTTTAATGGTTTGATTTAACATACTTTTCCTACATAGTTTTGGTGGTATTTATAATTTTTTTTCTTTCCCTCTCTGCCATACCTATTAGGGCTATTATAACTAAACTCTGGTTTTAAAAAAACCAGCTTTTCCGAGATGGTGAAAACACTCATATTTTCTTGATTTGTGAAGCTGCTTTTGAACTTGTGGTCGTAACTTTGTGCTGTTTTCACCTCTTCTCAGGAAATCCGAGGCATGCCAAGAACTGTTCCTTGCATTCAAAGCCTGTATAAACTTACAGCTCGGAAACACAGAATGGATGCAGAGAGAACACTTCTGAAGCAGAAAACAAACACTGTCTTAGGCGGAAGTTGTTATGTTCCAGCAACTCCTTTAAGAATAAAAACAGTTTCAAAGTAAGTGCTTAAAAAATTTAGTCTTCTGTTTCTGCTGTGGCAATGTAATATTTTATTGACAAGCCACTGATGTTTTCACAGAATTAAACCAGACTGGGTCTTGAGGAAAGATAACATGCGAGAAATCGTGGATCCTCTGCAAGCAATTCTGATGGTGATGGACACACTTGGTATTGCCTGCTACTGAAATGTAAATGATGTATAGGAAAATGTATTTGTACAGTATGTATGTGTTAGTAGTTGGCTAAATGATTTTAAAAGAAAGCAAACAAATGTCAAGCTGTCCTTGGAAATGTATTTTCAAATTGCAGTTAATATTTTGGTAACTCTTTGTATTGTATACAGTTTTGAAAACCTGTTTTGTACTACCAAAAGCCATTTTACAATAAAATCATTTCATTGGATTTTACTGGAAGTTTCATTAGTGCAGTAATACACTGTTACACAACTGTGGATATTACAAATAGCATGGGATTCTTCACTCTGAATAAGTATTGTAGAATTCTATTAAAAACAGGTTTTTGTGTGGGAGAGTAATGTCTTGTCTGATCTAGAGACATGGGTAAGAAGGGAGGCACAGGCACAGAATTTTAAAACTGGCTGTTTTGGGTGAACTTGAGTCTACTTTTTAGTAAGGTCTTGAGGGATCATGTATGACAGCAGGAAAAAAATTATAATTCCTCTTTTTTTTTTAAACATTCCAAGATTGTGGTGGAACAACAGGATGTTTTAAGGGTAAATTTAGAAATTCTGACCTGATATTTTAAGGGAGGTGATTTGTGAATTTGTTCTTCCTATCAAGTGCACAATACATACAGGCATGCATCTCAT